CACGGCCAGGGGGGAGGCTTGAGACGCGCAGAGGGGGCATGCCGACGAGGGAAGGCCGGATACGGCCACACAGCGAGGCCAGGATGCACTCGCAGCCCTGTCGGACCAGTAGGCAGCCGCCACGGGGAGGGGGAGGGGTGGCGCTGGGTGGTGGTGGAGTGCGCTAGGAGCTAGATCCGTCCCGCTGCCACCTTCATGGGGTCTGGCGCGGCTTTGCTGGCCGGCCCTCCGATGGCGGCGATGTGGGGGAGGGCGCCAGAGGTGAGTGCTAGTGGCAGCGGCTAGGGTTCCCCGTGTCGCCAGAGCAGGGCAACGCGGGGGACACGAGGAATAAATGTCTACCCCCAAAATAGAATATAACTGTTGAAAAGTCACTTTGGCAGTGAGCGTTGTATTTTGAATTTTGAAACTTGTCTACATGTATAAATTAAACATGTGTTCCAAAATTCATGTGAGTTTTCTGCCAAGTTTCATATTCTAATTTACAATACTATGTGAAACAGGTTCTGAAGATTTGCGAAAAAGTTTTACATACCAAAAGGATCCTGTAGTGTTTCGCTTTTCCTTTGGGGGTACTGTTCCAAAAATTTGGGGTATTCAAATGGTTCAATAAATTTAGTGTTTGGGGTACTACTCCTAGCTGGGGAAAGATTAGTATAGGTTCTCACATTAGACAAGATAAACCACAAAATTTCATATTCAGGCATTCTGAAAGATTCTGAAATTATTTGACAACATACCTACGGAGTATGTCTACAACTCCGGAAAAAAATCAGCTTAAAACTCGATGTATAGTTACAGATTCAAAAAGATAAATTTGCATGTGAATAGCGGGAGCTGGTGAATAATGTTTTGACACTGTTCACATCTGATTTTGTCCTTTTCTTTTCTATTAGTATAGGTTGATTTTGGAGCTCAAACTTTTTGAGGGACACGAAAAATTGATTTATGTCTGCAATTTTTTACAGTGTTTGAACATGTTTTGCACCCCCCTATCAGTGGCGAAGACAAGTCTAGGACAATTAGGGCTATAGCCCTGCGCCAAGTACCAATGTCTTATAGTTAGAAATGAGGGGAGTAGTACTGATTTTTTTTAAAGCTCGTACTAGAGGACTCATGAAAGAACTGTTTTGTCTAATGGTTTTTTTTGGAAAAATGGAGACGCTCATAACATGGACCCACACTAATTTCATGAACACATACAAGTAAACTTTATCTTTATGAGCACTTCTAAAAGACTAAGCCTGCGATTTTTCAAGATTGACCGAGTCATCACATATATCTCGTAGTCGTGACATGGTCACTGTATATATCGTTAGTTTGAGCTATGTTTTAAATGTCTTAACGCAACATTATTTTGACTGTGCACATTAAGTATGCGAATCTAAGGGTATCTTCAACCCTGACCAGCAAACTGGACATCACATTCTCCGCGGACAGGGGCGATCTGTCGGCGGACACAGATATGGGAGCCGGCCATCCAGAATGCGCATACATTTTAAATCGCATTTTAACTAATTAACCAGACGAAATTCATCAAACACGATGGAGCACAAACCATCCATACACAACATACAAATAAGTCTAGTACAACAATAGTTCAAATTCAACTAGATTAACCGAATGTTCAATAAGTTTTGCATGAACGGATCATGTCATCCCACGCATACTACCCTTGAGCTTCATCCAACATTGTATGTGCGTAAATAATCTGTCCTCTATCCTGTGGTATACCACGTATAGGCTACACAATATGTAAAGGAACATTAAGTGAATGAATGAATCAATTAACAAGTTGAAGAAGAAGAAGAAGAAACAAAACTTACGATCTCATCGACTGCCATGCGTAATGGCCACCTTGCCTCCAGCCTATCAATCACGCC